GTTACGTAACTTTTTTGACTGATTAGTGACATAACAATTACATAAAATGTGAAATTTACGTTCTGTACTTAATTGATACTAATTTATTACGTAAGAGTTACATGGCATGGTGACTCTAATAAAACGTCATAATAGTGACTCTTTTGTTATGTCCTCATGACCTAACAATGTTACTATGAACAAATTGTCATAATAGTGACTGTTCTGACTTCGAGTCGGCCGAATGAGCAAACTGAAAACTAGTGGACTGTATGAATTGAGAGCAGAATAAGAACAAAAGGTTGGATGCTAGAAGGTTCCTAAAAATAGTTTATTAACACTGAATTGCTTGGGTTTTATAGATTTTTTATTCAACAATAACACTTAACATACTCAATAGAATTTAATAATCACTACATATAGTTGAGTTGACTGTACCATAATTGTTTGTACACTTATGAGTTGTCTAATGGTTATTTTTTCACCAAATAACATAGTCTCAAAAAACAGTGAATAGCAACATTCACAGTATACACCAGAGTTGTTCGGGGGAGCGATGTATAGGTGAATGTCCGTGAGGCACTATGGCGTCGACGCCAGTTCAGCTTCGCGCCCAAAGACACTACAAACTGAATGTACTGGACCACTGGCACTGATGAGAGTAATTTGATGATTCACGTATCTTCGTGAGAGTTGTCTGAGTCTATTTGACCGTACTTTATTGTACAACGAGTGAGCTGACTGCAAAAAACTGCGATTTGACTGCGAAAAATTATACAGAGATGACCGCGTGATTTGCCTGGAGCTAACTGACGCCACAAGTGCTCGACCGCGTGCTTGTTGGCGTCACTAGGGCCGTAGAGTTGCCTTCTGGGCCATGAGGGAAATACTTCCCGATGATTGGTCCAGTGAGTTGACTGACGCGCCGGTGGACAAGTCCTGCATTAACAATTTTTGAATATTTCTGACTAACTGACTTGGGCCCCTCCAAGTCAGAACAGTGACTCTTATGTTATGTTTTTGTGACGCATCTACATTTTTATTTAAATAACATTTAAACCTATTTGCATACACATGATGTAACAATAACATAACATGAACTTAGCAACATTTTTTGCATGTTATGGCGCTATTCCATCTGTACCCTACAAAAATTTCTATGAATTCATGCATAGCATTTACCTTATTTGAATATTTTAATTACCTGAATATATATTATAAATAACATAAAATGAATAAAATAACATGATTTCTCGCCCTGCTATCAATATTATTAAATTTAATCAAAATATTAGCATGTGTAGACCTATATTCTTGTTTAGATATTAAGGACTAAAATAGAAGAGAGGATTAAGACGTAGGTTTAAGCAGTGTGCGTGCGAGTGGTCATAGATTTAAATTTTTTTGTAGAAGAAATATTTATTTACAATAAAAAATTAACTTTAACTAAAAAAGTATGGAATTATCACAAAATAAGTATACTTCAATTATATCAGCAACTTTAATCATTAAACAATTGTTTTATACAATTTAACGAGTATGTCGCATTAGCAACATTATAACGATATAACAGTGTTTACTGAGAACGCTACAAGATTTTTATGTGTAAGTAACATTAAAGCTATATTTTTCTGAAATGTAATAACCCTCGTGGTTTTTATTAACTGAAAAAAACCAGTTTAGTTTCACGGTTAAATCTCGACAAGATACGAGAAGAATAACTATCGTATTTAACTGGAAAAACGGTGAATATTAGTTAAAAATAAGAAAAATTTCAGTTAAGAAAAAAATTGATTTATCCAATTAATAATTGACTTTATAACTACTCTTGCCACTATAATTTATTTACAATAGCCTGTGATCGTTATAAATAATGGGAAAACGTCAATGCCGGTTGGATCTGAGTTTTTCCAGCAGAAATTGTTTTATATTGATATGATGTAGTATTTGATGACTTTGTAATGACTCTTGTGACTATAATTTGCTTATAACAGTCTGTAACTGTTATTGATATAGTCTTTTCTTTTATTAGGGTATTTTTTAATAGTTCCGCGTCTAGATGTTATGCTCAAATCAAGTCCCCACTACAGTACGCTATTTCCAATAGTTCCGCTTATAAAAATCGTAATTTTATTGTTGAATAAAACATTGATTGACTTAATTAAACGATTACCATATAAATTTCATTGTTCAGTCAACTAAGATCATAATTTATTATAATTCATTGCAAAAGCATTTTTATCATACAAAATATTAAATGACGCAGATAAGAAATTTAAGTAATTTCCAAAATTCTCGTTTGAAACATTGGCGCTATTTTTTACGTTTTTATTCAAAATACTAAAGTCATTATGCTTATGATTTCTTCTTATATGTGAAAAATTCCTTGATCAGATAAAATTTCTGAAATATTATAAAATTTCTTCATTAGATTGACTAACTTTCGTGTATATTTCATGACTAAAAATTCTTTTTTTTTGTAATAACAAAATTATTAGCCGTACCTGGGCATTCAAAGTGTTCAGACGTATTTATAACAGTAAATAGGTTAATACATTTTCAAAACATGGTGATTCTAAGTAAAAGTGTAACTGAGTGAAAACTACTCCAAAAACAGGCGAGCAGGAATAATGTCAGAGAACAGCGATGATCAAATGGTCGTAGGAGACACTGATGCCATGGCTGAAACACGTCCAATCGCTCAGGACAATCGACCAACTTTTACTCCAAATCCAACCAGCGATAGTAATACAGGTGGAAATTACACAATCAAACTCATGCTAGTTAATAAAACGAATGGGTGGCAAATAGCTTCCAAGGAAAAAACAAATCAGGCTAAACATAAGCGTATAAGCACAAACAGTGTAGATTCCCTGCAGTCACTAATAGAGAGTAACCCTTTTCCGTTAACAAAAATTTGGCAAGAAGAAAACTTTACAAATGATCAAGCAAGTACACGCAGAAAGTAAACACCTAAAAAATTCCAAAGCTAATCTTCATTCCTGGTGTACAAGCTATTCAAATACTCGCTGAGAAAATTCAACAAACAACTCAAGGCGACAAATATACATACAAAACCGTCCATAACGATGGGAAAATCAGAATAATGGCTAATACGATTGAAGACTATAGGAAAATAATACGCGTACTCAAGGCGGAATGTGCAATGTATCATACATATCAACTGAAGCAGGAACGCGCCTACAAAGTAGTGATAAGATCACTTCATCCATCGGTCCCATTAGGTGACATAAAAAGTGCATTAGAAAACAAAGGCCATCAGGTGCGTAACGTATCGCACATCTACCGCAAAGGTACTCGGGAGCCGTTACCTCTATTTTTTGTAGACCTCGAGCCAAACTCTAATAACGAAGAAATATATAGAGATATATAAATAATATTTTTGGTGAAATTACAAATTACAGGAGTAATTTAAAATTTTTTTGCCAAATTACTAAATACAAAAGTAATTTGTAATTTAATAATTTAAATTTCTAAATTAATAAGTAGTAATTTTACTAAGAATTAATTGACATTTTTATTTATTGTGTGATGAAAGCATCACGTTCTCATAATGAGACAAAAAAAAATGTTTTAATATGTATATCAACGATTCAACTTATGGCTCAATAATAAATTATGTGTTTTAAAGTTCACACATATATTTTGACTATAACACATGTGTTTATAACAACTTATTTATGTTTTAATGTTCGTCGAGATCTTTTAACGTTGAATCATGCAATTAAACGTTCTCAAATTTTAAGAAATGTTGTTACTGAAGAAGTAGCTACAAGTTTTACTCTAGACAGTTTATTAAATATGTGAAAAACAGGTTGTGAAAATTTTAATACTTTTTTTCAATCTCGCATTTCGTTAAAATTAATACCTCTTTTACAAACTATCACGAAAGTTTCATTATCGATAATAATGGTTAATAAAGGTATGAAAGAGAAACAATTACAAGCTAGCTTTGATGATAGCAAGGATGCTCAGAAATTGTTTGCTTTGACAGCAGAACGCCAATATTCACTCGAACTCTTACTGTTTTATGATTTGAGAAGAAAAAATAAATTATTTGAAGAAAATAGCGCTCTAAAATATGCTGAAGCAAATAAACTTATTGACGAACTCCATAAAAATATTCTACCACTTGAATTAAATTCATCTTTGTTATTGTTCTGACTTGGAGGGGCCCAAGTCAGTGAGTCGGGAAATATTCAAAAATTGTTAATGCCGGACTTGTCCACCGGCGCGTCAGTCAACTCACTGGACCAATCATCGGGAAGTATTTCCCTCATGGCCCAGAAGGCAACTCTACGGCCCTAGTGACGCCAACAAGTACGCGGTCGAGCACTTGTGGCGTCAGTTAGCTCCAGGCAAATCACGCGGTCATCTCTGTATAACTCGTCGCAGTTAAATCGCAGTTTTTGCAGTCAGCTCACTCGTTGTACAATAAAGTACGGTCAAATAGACTCAGACAACTCTCACGAAGATACGTGAATCATCAAATTACTCTCATCAGTGCCAGTGGTCCAGTACATTCAGTTTGTAGTGTCTTTGGGCGCGAAGCTGAACTGGCGTCGACGCCATAGTGCCTCACGAACAGCTACACATACATCACACACTCGAACAACTCCGGTGTATAGTGTGCCTGTTGTTCTTCACTGTGTGAGACTTTTTTTTGGGTGACAAAATAACCATCAGACAATTCATACGTGTATAAAAAATTAATGTACAGTCAACTCACATATATGTAGTGATTATTGATTTCTATTGGTTATGTTAAGTGTTATTGTTGAATAAAACATCAAAACCTAGACAAATTGGTGTTTGTGAATCACTTTTCGGAACCTTCTAGCATCCAACCTTCTTTTTTATTCTGCTCTTAATTATTATAGTCCATTAGTTTTTAGTTTGCTCGTCCGGCCGACTCGAAGTCAGAACAGTTATCAACACAAAACACGTGCTTGATGATTGATGCTTTAAATCTCTGCAAAAGTATTAAATTTAATAGTAAAAAGATCTTTGAAGATTATAAAGAATCATTTTTAAAATTAATATAAGAAGAAATAGTTAAGAACACTCATTTAACTCGAATTGATTTATTATTCGAATCATTCACTGAAGATGTTCCTCGATTAAATGATGAGTAAGTACTACTTTCTTGTAATTAATTTTATTATTAAAATATTCTTCGAAAATATTTTTTTTTCTTCTTCAAATTTTATTATTATTTTAGCTTTGAAAAAGAATCAATTCAAATCCATGCTATCAATGATAGTGTTCCAATGCCTATACAAGAAGAGAAGTTTTGGAATAATATTCATAATATAGAATTGTTACAAGTGTACCTGAAAAGCTCTATAGAAGAACGTATAACGTTGAACTTATTTTTAATGACAAAAATTATTATAAAGACTGATAATTACTCTTACAGATCTACAGATTCAAATAAATCTGTAGAAAATTTAGAATATTTGTCGTTGTATGACCGTGCAAGGAAGTGGGCAATGTGGAACCGCAACTCCGTAGGGACCCAAAAAGCGCTGACTGGGGCCTGTTCAAGCAGGAACTAGAAAGACTCATGGGGGAACCCGGAACGGAAGGGCGTGTAGGATCTCCGGCCGGCCTCGATGAGGCAGTGCTGGACCTACAAGACGCTATTGCAGGGGCCTATAGTTGCTCATGCCCAGCCAGGGTGATGCAGGAGTGCAGGAGAGTCTCATGGTGGAACAGGGAGCTTGAAAAGGCTCGCAGGGAAACCAGGAGACTCTTCAACAGGGCAAAAAAGCTCAAGACGGATCAGATGTGGACTGAATTTAAAAACCTTACGGAGAAGATTCAGGTCTATGATCAAGTCAGTAAGGAGGCAAGCCTGGAGAAGCTTTTGCGAGAGAATGGAGGCCCTACCTGAAGTAGCCAGAATCCGCAAGCTGATTACTCCCGGCAGGAACGTGTCGCTCCGAGGCCTAGAATCTCCGGAGGGAGAGATGGTCGACGACCATCAAGGCATACTGGAGCTCCTCATTAAAACGCATTTTCCGGGATCGATCTCGGTGCAATAAACCACAAGTGAGGCTGATAGACCAGGCGGGCTCGTAAGGGCCGACTGGGAAACCGCCAGGCGGGTGGTGACCTACGATCGGGTAAAATGGGCAGTCGGTACCTTTGATCGCTACAAGAGTCCAGGCACGGACGGAGTCTATCCGGTTCTGCTGCAAATGGGCGGGGAGCGACTATGGCGCAGACTGGTACATATTTACCGATCTTGCCTTGCCATGGGTTACATACCTAAGGCTTGGCGGACGGTCAGAGTGGTATTCATACCCAAAATGGGAAAGGACTGCTATGACCAAGCAAAGGCCTACAGGCCCATAAGTCTAACCTCCTTCGTCCTAAAAACGCTGGAGCGGCTTGTGGACTGTTCCCTTAAAGAAAGCGCATTGTGCACCAGGCCCTTGTGCTCAGCACAACACACCTACCAAAGTGGCAAGTCTGTAGAGACTGCCCTCCATGACCTCGTAGGAGGCCTGGAGAGAGCCCTGGAGACAGGCAGGTCGGCAATTGGGGTCTTTTTAGACATCGAAGAGGCGTTTGATAACACACCCTTCGAAACTATGGGTGAGGCAGTTTAGAACTTCGGAGCAGACGTCACGCTTGCACGTTGAATCATGAACTTGCTCGCCAGTAGAACGGCCCTCGCCTATTTAGGAGGTACAGAGGTTCGAGCTGCAGTAGCCAGGGGCTGCCCGTAGGGAGGTGTCCTATCTCCCCTGCTGTGGACCCTGGTGGTGGACGAACTTCTTACGAACCTGAAAAAGGCGGGCTTCAGCGTTCAAGGCTACGCTGATGACGTGGCCATCACGGTCACAGGCGACGATTTGAGAAGTCTGTCCCTCAGAATGCAGACGGCCCTCAACGTCGTTGAGAGATGGTGCCAGGTTCGGGGGCTCAGGGTTAACCCGAGCAAAACTGAACTGGTTCTGTTCACAAGAGGAAGGAGGACTGAGTTCAGGCCTCCCTTCATCTTTGGCAAACAGCTGAAATGTTCGGAAACAGTGTGCTACCTTGGAGTAACCTTAGATAGGAAGCTCTACTGGAGGGCACATGTGAATAAACAGGTCAAGAAGGCCACGGCTACCTTCTGGACCTGCAGAAGAATGTTCAGCGCCACATGGGGTCTGAACCGAAAACAATAAAATGGCTGTACACAGCTGTTGTCACTCCCCAACTAACCTACGCCTCCATAGTATGGTGAACCTCCGTCAGGAGGAACGCCTGCAGGAGGCAACTAAATAAAGTCTATAGAGCGGCACTGCTAGGTATAACGGGAGCCCTGAGGACGACCCCAACCCTAGCTATGGGCTGCCTACTGAGCATCTCTCCGCCGGAACTGATGGTGGAGGTGCTAGCGAAGAGGGCGGCCATCCGCTTGAGGAGCCATAGACAGTGGACGAGCTTTCGAGCAGGGCATGCGGCGATCCTGGGCCCGGAGGACTCTACGGGACTCAGTGGCAAAAAGGTCGATCGCTGCCCCAGGAAGCTAGAATTCTCACCCGGATACGAAGTCATCTTCATGGACAGACGGACCTGGCTGGAGGAAGGCGAGGAATCGCTTACTCCCAAGGGGCCTATCTGGTACGTGGATGGGGCGAAGTTTAAGGGGGGAGAGGCCGGAGCCGGAATCTGGTGCGGAGGACCACGGGTGGAGGAATCCTACACCCTGGGCCAGAACGCTTCCGTGTTCCAGGCAGAGGTGTACGCAATCCTGTTATGCGCCATGCATATCACCAGAAGAGATTGCACTGGGCAGCATATCTATATCTGCAGTGACAGCTATGCTGCCCTAACGGCTCTTTCGCAAGTGGCTACCTCTTCAAAACTCGTAAACCACTGCAGATGAGTAACAAGCGGCATGCCGCAACAAACTGAAGCCGCTAAAGGTACCAAGTCACTGCGGTATACGCGGCAACACCGAAGCTGACAGGCTGGCCCGTATTGGCGCCAGCGGCGGAGGTGACAGGGGCCCAGTGGAGATAAACGCTCCCGGGGAACTTGTGAAGGCGTTGGGGGACAAGTGGCTGCACAAAAGATTCACCAGCTACTGGGCGGAGACCTCGGGGATGAGGCACACCAGAGCGTTCATCAGGAAACCCACAACTCAAGTGAGTAGGGACCTGATCGAACTGGATAAAAGAAGGCTAAGAGTGGCCGTGGGCACCGTCACAGGGCACTGGCTAACTCGACGCCATATGAAGATGCTGGGACGCGGAGAGGAATCCGCGTGCCGGTGGTGTGGTGAGGAAGAAGAGACGCCTCTCCACATGATAAGGGAATGCTCGGGGCTAAGGGAACCCAGGCAGCGCCTGTTAGGGAACCTTGGGACCGACGCACCCATTCTCGAGACGGTCGGGACGGACCGGCTTCTGCAATTTTGCTACGAGGCCGGGCTGTACCAACCCACCTAAGACCGCCTTTACCATAAGTTTGGACCCAGTACAATGGCCCCGTGGCTAAGTGCAGGGAAGGCGGGGCAGACTAAAGGGGGAAAAAAAAAATGACCGTGCAATTATTCACATTAACAATGCTGTGATGGAAGAGCGTTATTTTATAAAAATATGTTTTGGAAGCTGTAATCTATTGGTGATAATAATGTACTATTGGCATAGATTCCAGACGTTTGGTTTGAAAGTTAGTAAAACAAGTATTATATTTAAGTTTTTCAATGGGTTAAAGGAAATTATCATTTAAATTTGTAACATTGATGAATTAAAATTGTCGATAAAATAATAAAACTACTTTGAGACAATCTGCATTTGTCAGATAATTATTGTTACTGATTTGGCAAAATTTGTATTTCAAATGTAATCATCAATTCATATAGTAGTACATTTTTCTTATCTATCAGGAATTATGGATAGAATTTATGACTGGCAGAAGAAAAGTGATCATCCCAGTTCATCACTGGATACTTCATTATAAGTTAGCATTTTGCTAAGTATTACCAGCACTTCATTTTTTGACGGGTTTGTCATATACAAGCAGAATAGAAACTAAATTAAGAGCAATTGAAGCAAACCCATCGAAGTATTTTGGTAGAAATGAGTAACTATGAATAAATCTGTTTTGATATTATACAAAGAAGTCTATTACTGTTTAAATAATTATTTTTAATTATTTTAATAACAGTAAGTTTCATGATTTTGTTATTTCTTTATGAAGATTATTGAATGTTCAGAACATGATTAAAGAATACTCCAAAAATAAAGTAGTGAAAAATATTTGATTGAAGTAGTAAAAAAAAAAAAAGGTAATTGTAAGACTTTTAACGAGTTAAGAACGTGGGAGTACACAACTGGAAAATCAGAAATTGTTACTGATCTGTCTTCAACAAGTGCAACAATATCTCTGCACATTTCACGAGCATTTTATATCACCAATAAAAAAATTTCATTACTTGAGCCACTTCGTCAAAACTTGAATCCATTGGAATTTGGATACAGTAAAACAAATTTAGTACAACTAATACCACAACAAGTAACAAATCTATATCCTCCAACTGATGATTTACCACCACCGTGTGATTGTAAGAAATGTTCGAACAGCTGTCAATGTAAGAGTTTTAATGTTTTGTGTTGTGCATTTTGTACCTGCGTTGAAAAAAAATCTTGTGAAAATTATATTTTTATATAACTAAAATAATTTTTTTTTTATTAAAAAAATTAAAATCATAATGACAATACTAATTCGAAGTCAATAAATAGATCCAAGAAATTTTTAAAAATTGAAAGAAAAAAATTTTAATTATTAAATTAAATTTCAATCAAATAAAAAAATTATAGTAAAATTGTATAATTTGAAAAATGAATGAATAAAGAAATAAGTATATTGCTGAATTATTTGAAAACTTATATAATTGAATAACATCAAGTTTCATGTGCGAGCGGCGGCATAGCCAGTGGTGCGCATTCAAAAATGAGCTCTATTTTAATAAAAAAAACATTCTTCTGTGTAAACTATTGAGGGTAGAAAAAAAAATTTTTTTTTTTGGAATCCTAGCGCGATTCTAAATAATTTATATGCATAATTTCTCCATCTCAGATTAATAGATTTTGAGATATTCAAGAAAATATATCTGAAAGAACATAG